CGCAGTGCCCTGGGGGTGGTGGTGGCCCCGTGGCCCCCTTTTGCGAACCTTCTGATAAGCAAAGGAAAGTCAGATTCACTTACCAACTGTCTGACTAACTTAACAACTGGAGTGATTCACTTAACAACGGTCTTGTTTCGCTGCAGACATTTTGGTCCCAATTGTGGTAGTTCAGTTCAGTTCAGTTCACTTTATTTGTATGCTGCCCTTTTCCCTGGGGGGACTCAGGGCGGCTCACAGTTCAAAAGGGGGGGGGGAGGACAAACAATTTACAACATAAAGCATATGTCGTAAGTCAAGGACTGCCTGTCTTTCTCCCTTTCCTCTGGGAGAAACGTCCCTTCCTCCGGGACTCAAATGGAGGGACGGTTCTTGGCAGAGGGACCACTCTCTGCGGCGGGAGAGTGGTGTTGGGTGTCCATAGGTGGCCTCTTGTTGAGGGGGGGGATTAGCTGGGTGGGGGGGCTGCATCTGGGCTGGGACACGAAGCCTGGGCCTTCTTCAGTGCCCACCACCTCCCTCCTTCTCTCCCTTTCAGATCTGGGGAACCGCCTGACCGAGTTGAACAAGTCGGTGGTGCGTCTCCACGCGGAGATGAAGCACCTCCGGCAGTCGGTGGCTACCGGTGGGGTGGCCGCCAACCCTCTGGACGGGGCCAGCGTGCTGCGCAAGTACATCATGAAGGTGCGCAACAGCTTCCAGAACTACGAGCCCGACGTGGGGGGCGACGGCCAGGGCTCCCCCGTGGAGGTGGTGGTGCACCAGGACATTCCCCTCGTCATGGAGGGGGCGCTGCCGTTGCTCCGGGAGGAGAAGGAAGGCCAGGCGGGGGGCCAGGCAGAGGAGGCCGAAACGGGGGCCGGGGTGGAGGAAGAAGTGGGGGGCGAGGCAGAGGAGGAGGAGGTGGTGGACATGTTGGGGGCCGAGGAGGAGGAGGAGGCCGAGCCGGTCATTCCTGACTACGAGGCTCAGGAGGAGACCGAAGACCAGGTAGCTCAGCCACCAGAATCCTGAGCCACCAATTCTTGAAAAAGGACCACCACAGAAGCCACGTGCTTTGCGAAGTAGCCTTCCTTGGGGGGGGGGACACAATCCAGACTCCTTCCCAGAGGTTTTCCTGGGCCCCCCCAAAAGGGGTGGGTGCCCTCTTCGACTGCACCGGGACGCCTCCGTAGGAAAGTCCTGCCGTAGTTGTGCTATTCTTGCAAATGCACTTAGAACAGTGTTTCTCAACCTTGGCGACTTTAAGTCCTGTGGACTTCAACTCCCAGAATCCCCCAGCCAGCGCAGCTGCGCTGGCTGGGGGATTCTNAACTGCAGATAGCAGTCAGCTGAAGTGGCCTGCAGTGCTGCATTTAACCACTGCGCCACCTCGGCTCTTCACATAAGATGCCCGCTGGTCTACAGAAAGTTCTGGATGAAAACGTGAAAATCATTAACTACATGTTTTTATGTAGTTATGAGGTACCCCTCAGCGTTTTTTATGAGGGGTACTCAGCGTTACGAAAATTATAGAAGGGGTACACATATGTCAAAAGTTTGGGAAACTCTGTTCTAGAGGCTCCGCATCTTTTCTGTGTTGTGGTGACCAGAATCGGGTGCAGGATTGCAAGCGGGGCCTCACTGGGGCCACTCGAGGGAGTTCCGGTCCCTTCCTGGGTTGGAGGGATCGGAGGGCTGCATGAAGAGAAGTTCAGGGCTTCAGACCGGAGCCCGTGGCCTGAGGCCAAACTGAGCCAATAGATCCCAATGTCTGACCTTCCTTCTTCCACAGAGCGGCCGGATTGGCACACTGAAGACCCCCAGTTCATGGCCGAGGTGCTCTTTGCTGTCACCAGCATGCTGAGCTTCACGCGCCTGGCCTACATCCTCCCTGCCCACGAGACCCTGGGGACGCTCCAGATTTCCATTGGGAAGATGATTGACGACATGATTCGGTACGGGCACCGGGGGAACCTTCCTCCGACTCGGGGCCCCTGCTGTAGTCTGAGGAGGACCTAGAAAGCTCTTGAGATGTTTCCCCAACCCGGAGAAGGCCTCTTAGGAGGGATGCTTGGGCGAGGGGGTGAGGAACCCGGGGAGAGGTGTTTCCAGAGGAATGGTCCCACAGACCCTGCCTGTGTTTGGGGAAGAAGGAGGAGGAGGAGGAGGAGGAGGAGGAGGGCGCCTCCTTTGGGCCTGATCTCCTCTTGGCTTCTCCTCAGATTCATGTTCATCATGATGATCATCCTGACTGCTTTCCTCTGTGGCATGAACAACATCTATGTCCATTATCCATCATCGGAGCGTCTGGGAAGGTAAGGACCCTGGTGGGTCTGGGGAGGGGAGGCCAGGACTGGGTGGGGACACCAGGACTCAGCCAGCATGCTGAAGCCCAAGCAGACCAGGAGGGAGGCTTTGAGGGTCCTTGAAGGAGGAAGGAGTTCAGGGGAAGGAATGGATGAATGAATGGGGTAGGTCCATCTTTCTTCATCAGATTCCGCATTTTTATTCATCTTTATCTCTCTGTCTCTCCATATCTATCACTTAAGCATACCTCTATCTATCTATCTATCTATCTATCTATCTATCTATCTATCTATCTATCTATCTATCTATCTATCTATCT